TATATATATATATATATATATATATATATATATATATATATATATATATATATATATATATATATATATATATATATATATATATATATATGGAAGAACTCAGTGACAATACTGTTTACCTTTTAGGTCCTGTGAAGAAATGTGAACCAATGACGTAGAATGAATTGATTGTTTAGGCCAAATAAAAATAATAGTTGGTTTCAGGTTTCCGACCGACCTGTCAAAAATATGACCGACCATAATAATTTTATTCCCAGTAGAGATGATTCTTTCGTAAATAGCTAAAAAAAAATAGTCATCAGACTAATTTGTCTACAAATTATTTTGTTTGCTTATAATTTCATCATCATCTAGTCTGTTAAATCATAGTTTTACATTATTCTCAGTATTCTGACATGGGATCTACGGCTGAAAAAAGATGGAAATGCCTTGATGCGTTTGTTTCTCGCGAAACACATGTGTGGCTTGCATGTACTGTAACATGTTTTTCGCGAAACACATGTAAAAACAATAAATACTAAGAGTTTAACTTATATTTATTGCATACTTGAGACAAAATATTTTTTTAAATAAAATGTTTTTCCGACCTACCTACCCATATAAAACATGGCTGTGAAACCTGAAACCAACTATTTTTTTTATTTGGCCTTATGTGATTTAATTTGATCTACCAAGGATTTGATACTTCCCTGCACTTTAAGACCAGGTCAACATCTGGGAAAATCTAAATACATGTATTATACAATATTACAATCATGTCTATATGTTCAAAACAATGCTTTCAGTGCACACAGTATAGGCAAAGCCATAAACAAACAATTATATTTATATAGTATACTGTCTGCAATTATACATGTATGTGCATATTATGGGTGTCAAATGTTGGCTGCGGGGCTCAAAATAACGGGAGATGACTTAGATAGGTCTCCTGTCAAAATGACCGGTCAACTTGATTTTAGCTCGGTCAAAACAAAATCTGTTTTTGACCGGTCGCTGATACGCTTACACTAACAGTAACAGTAAAACAAATTTAGAAACTTGTTTCGATACATCATACAGTAGTTTCATGTTTTAATTCAAGACGTCATGCAGCATTCACATTGGAAGGCATGAAAAGTATATCTTCTTGCAACTCTACGTATCTACTTTCCCTTTCTGTGGCCAAAATTTATTTATCAAATCGCAAGTCGTCGAGCTCTGTCTCTGAGTTATGTTTCCCATTGCCAAAATTTACTTTCTCAGGCCCAATTGCTTAAAAGGTTCCCCTGTGTTCGCAACAGGCTTGTAGCAAGCTTGTCAACAAGTTGTGACAAGGCTGTTATTTTATCAAGTTGCTACAAGGTTGTCACTCACAACTTGTTGACAAATTGTTGAATTGCAGGACGATAGCAAAGTTGTTGGAACAACTTGTAACAAGTCTGTTGAGCTCAACAGTCTTGTATCAAGTTGTCAACAAGCTGTTGAAAACCAGCTGGGAACAAGTAGTGCGAACACATCCTGTTGACAAGTTGTTGGAACAGCGTTGCTACAAGTCTGCTGCAGATTTGTTACAACTTGTGCGTTTTTACGTTTGCATATGTAAACCATTATTGGTTGAATTAGAAGTTTAGAAGAGCCTAGAGCCTGCAAGATGACCTTCTGGAAGCTTCGTGTTCAGAGTTTTCCAAGGTATCCAGTGGGGGCAGTGGGTGGTAAACACGAAGTCGATATAAACTGAACATGTTTAGTGATTGGCTTCTGTAAATAAAGTGATGGGTTTTAGGAGTCATTCTCGAGAAAATGTATTTTTAGTTTTATCGTTGTTTCATTATTGTTACTGTAATATAATCAACCAATCACTACCCTGGATTCCAGAGCCTTCGACAGTAAATATTTCGAGTTTGCAGTAAATAATAAATTGAAACGTCGCGAAGACTCTGGTTCAACGGGAAGCTTCTTTGATTAAACCGTGCCAATCACAAAACAGAATTAGTGGTTTTAATACAGAATCTGTACTAAAACCACTAATTCTGTTTTGTGATTTGACCCAGAGCCTTCGCGACGTTTCAATTTATTATTTACTGTCGAAGGCTCTGGAATCCAGGGTAACCAATCACGCGCACAGAATCTTTTCCTAGGGCTTTGTACCTTCGGTGAATTAGGGTATGTCATAGCCCTAAACTCAATACGCTCCAAAGTATGCCCGTTCGCAGGTTAGGTAAATGGAGTGTTTTAAAGCCAGCTGCAAAAGCCCCATATATTGCTTGTGATTAAGTTCTGAACTATTTACAGCATAAAAAATAAAATACAGTTTAATTAATAATAGTTTATATTGCCGGTAATTTTGATTTAAATTACTGGGGTGTGCTGTGGAGGAGTCCCAACTAGTTCCCAAGCCGTCTGAATAGCACGGCCGTAAAAAATTAAATATGGTGGTCGAACAGGGAATTTAAGATTTATAATAAATTTCAAATGGTCAAATTGAACAAAATGGGTAATTTGTGTTGGAACAATCATTTCATTCACAATGGGTGAGATAACACATATGTACAGTTATAGACTTAAACAGTGTAGACACTAGACATCAGACATGCAGACATGTAGTGAAAAATATAGTGCAGTAGTAATGGAAATTGAAAAGTGGTGTATGTAAGCTAATTAACTAACTTTGTAACCTGTAGAAATGACATATTTTGTGACTGAACAATTTGACTGGTTCCTGAATATCAGTCAGAATAATCAGAATTGCAGTCAAATGTTACAGTACCTGTATGTTAATTAGTTAATTTGACTCCCCCCCTGAATATTTTACAGGAGAAGTTTTGGGGTTCCCGAGAAATGCTTAATTAATATAAACAATTTTCAAACCTGTGCTAATTTGGGTCATTCCCGAAAACATCCATACAGAAATTTCCTCCTTGGGGGAGTGTGAAATCTTTTCTATAAATTATAACCCATTGTTTTGAAACATGTATTTGGTCATTTGTACCATTGACTGCCCGTCAATGAAAATGTGCTGCCATAGATTTCTTGATTCTCAGATATAAAAAATTTCCAACTGTGCTGTAGGGATGCACCGGAACCGGTTTTTTAAGTTCCGGCGGGAACCGGATCCGACCGGAACCGGATCCGACCGGAACTGGAAAAAAGTTCCGGAACCAGAACTAATTTATTAAGCCATATATAGTCATATGTTACTTTGTCCGCTGCCAGACAAGCAGACACTTCAAATCATCAAGTAGAGAGTTTGCAAATGTCA